TCCTCAACAATGTTCGAGAATAGAAGGTCTTCATGAAGACGGTAGGTAAGCTCTTTGAGTGTCCTAACACCATAGTCGTGTTTAATGCCTTTCTAGGAGCTACTTTCAACTACTCTCTCAGTTGGTACATCATGGAGGCTTCTGTGGCAGACGGGCTTGAATCACATCTACTAGATTTATTCGGCGTTTTGTGGTGTAAGGGTTCGTAATGCAAGGTAAATTACAGGTACCACAGTAAGGGCTATCGTATCGGTAGATTTACATGCACCCATATCTTCTGATATAGACAAACAATCCCACGTATGCTACATGTCATCGCAAGTTGTGAGAAGTACTTGCAGTGAACTGTGCTGGAAACCGTACTAGTTTTTCTGGTCAGTGTTGAGACCGTGGTTTGTTTAAAGTGAACTAGGAGGGCTTGGCTAAACACATTCCGCCGTGACCAAAAAGTTGCAGGGACGACCGATTTAATTGTCACCTTCGTTGGATAGCACTTGCTCTTGCAATGGATGGGAGTGGCGTAATTTAATCGCCATCTGATTAACCCAAAGAGTTTAGCAATTTGCTTTATTGTCTCCTGCAATTTATGTTGAGTGATCCAGGATTTTTCATTGTTTTCAAAATCGGTCAGATTCTCTAAAAAATGGAACTTTTTTCCTCACTTTCAATCTTGCACTCTTTCACGAAATCCCACTCCCTTGTTAAACTATCACGGTAGACTGATTCTACATGACACGATTACTTACGAGGATAAGTGTCTTGGCTCTTGTTGGTAATTATTGTTAATTTTTTTGACAAAAACCAACTTAAAACGAGTGTTTTTTTGACAGCTGGTGGGTAAGCTTCCATTCTAAATAGTAACACCAGCAGTTTTTTGTGCAACAAAGGTTGCTGTCGGTCTTTCGAGACCACAATATGCTGTCTACCGTCGCCACTCCACTCATGAAGGCTCTTCTGCCGATAGTTTGGTGCATAATTGTGTTCCTTGTGTGATATTTGCCTCCTGTGGTCAGTGCCATGGGTGTCACCCAGGCATTGATTCACACCAATTTAGGAAAAAAAGTAGGACTGATTTCTCTATTTTCCCTCATTATATTGACCGTTCTGGTGTGCTTAAACTATCCTCCTTGCTTTTTTCCACTAATCTCAAATCCCCTGCCCTTTCGTCCAAAAGTGCGATCTCTTTAATCACCTTGTGTGCATGCGGAGGCCTAGTTTGTAAGACAAGTGGGGTTCATGCATAAAGTTTACTCATTTAGATGGCCAGCTTAGGATAAGCATCTTGAGGCGTTCAGGTTAGGCCTTACAACGCCAAGTACTCACAACTGCTTTCACGCTCAGGGTATGAAAGTTGTGGTGTCAAACGTAAGTAATGGTGGTAATGAATGTGCTAGTTAGGAAGTAAAATCGCGCGACTAAAGGGAACTTTTAAGTCACTTGAGGGGTTACCATATGCGTCATTAGTTCGTGATGTTTCTGGATATCCACGGTGCCTACGCTCTATTGATGCCGAAAATACCATGAGCTGTTGGCATGGTTTTCCTTATATCGCCCTGAGGGTATGAAAATCGAGAGAAGCTGAGTTATAAAGAATCAAAAGATGGTGCCGTTTTTTTGGTAGTGCTGACTCCCAAACCTGTTATTTACTTGCATCAAATCTGTTAGCAACTATTCAGCAAAAGCGCCACTACACCCCAATCGCCTCATATTTTTTCGTATGAGTTATTTCCGTTGTGAAATTTCTTTACGATACGAAACCTACCATAGTGACCCTCTGTTCGGTGCATAGGGTGAACTCGTGGTGTTAGTGTTTTTCCTTTGTATACCGGTGTGATTGGAGGCTGGCGATGGGGGGCGTCTACCATCATGTTACAAGATTGCTTGACAGAACTTCTACCTCAAAATAAAATAGTCACCAAGATGAATATGATCGTTAAATTGCTGTAATTGAAAATATCCATCCTAAACAGCTTATTGTTGATCTTGAGTACGAAAGACGCGCGATCAGCCTTAATACAACTTAAACCAACGGCTTGAGTGTTCTTAAAGTTGCCTGTATCCAAAATCTTCAATGGCTGTTCCTGATATCAGCACGGTTTTTAATTTTCCTCTCAACGTAGTCCTATAGCAGTGTTCTACACTTGGCAGTTCAGCACTTCCCTTACGTGTAACGTCCCAACCTTCTCACCTGAGCTCGCATGTTAGAAACGTGTGAAATTCATTCCAAATCAGTTTATTTTAACTGTTTGCACCAACTAGTTCGTAGCAGACGGATTGTTTGAGTTTAAAACAATAAAACAGATGGAGGATGTTAGTGGTCATTTGGGTAATGCAGCCACTGGTGTCCAGTAGTTGAATTTCCCTTGATATCCCGGTAGTGAATGTGTTAAAAGTGGAGTGATAAACCCTCCTGATTGTTTTATTCCTGGTCGTCTCACGCACCTCGATCTACCCTTTTCTTTTTCGATTCTACACACCCAATTGTTAGTGTATTTCGATGCAATATGATGTAATGCTATTCTCCTGTTTCGGTAACTTTTGTTATAGTAATATACAGCACCCGGATGTACCGTTTCCTGAAGTATATTGAGAATCGCGAGATCGCCAAACAGGTTCTAATCGAGCGAGGCCTCAAGAAGATTCGCATCGGTATTGAGGGTGAGTATGGTTTTCTGATGCACTTTTGCAAACAATGAAATATCCGCTTCGGATGCACGTTGATTGCACTTCATTTGTGTCCGCTTACTAGCAGTACTTCCCATGGTTTTTAAAATGTATTCAGAAGTCTTTGGAAGATGTTGCTCGGTACAGTGACTACGTCAGGTCGTTTCCAAGTCTAGCGTTGCTTGTGTGGCATGGTCTAGGTTCTACCCGGAAGGGTATCATAGACATCTTCCGGCCTGTTAAATTTGATTACTGTTGACATGCGCTTATTCACCTTGTCGTAATTCTCCATCACCTTACTCCTAGTGTTATGTGTCTCATGTAAAGGGTCTGCTGGAGCATAACCGATTCACCTTATTTAATTGATGCATCGTCAATTTGTTTGCGTTGTCACACTGGTACATGGCAGAACTCCAAGTCCTATCTCAGAAGGAGGTAAGTTGCAAGATGCTCCTCGAGGCAAGACTTCCACCTAAGTTGTCGAGGATGCGACTTCATGACCCACTTACTTCACAGGCCTGGGTGGAAAATTACCCTTTCTCGTGTATTGAGTAGGGGATTTGGGGAGCTTATAGCCAAAGGCAAGTGCCTATTAGAACGCAGTCAAAGCATCCACTTTTGCTGTTTTACGTCGTTTAAATTGCATAGTTGGTCCATGGCAGGGCCAAAACATGCCTCGTGAGTGGGTAAAAATTTGGGGTGCAGTCGGAAAACGACAACCTGTTTCTGAGATGACGCATATGAACCTATTTAAAAAAAAAACATTCTCCAACTTAGTAAAATGTAAGGAGGCCGAAAACTACATATAGTAGAGACTGCAAAACTCCGCAGTCTCCGAGTGGGATTTTTCATATTTTTCGTAGATTAACCAGGGGAGATATACTCGCGCACAATTACACATCTGTTTGGGTCTGTGACCCACCCTGGATATTTAATTGAGCAAGCAATTCTTGTTATTCATTTCCTCCTCATTTTCAGGCTACCCGACTTGCAAGGAGCGCATGAAATTCCGTGTCGGCTCGAGACCAGAAGGTGAGTGCCCTCCTACATGGCAAGTCGACAGTTTGACATTTACCACTGTATCGACTGGGTGTTTGTTGTCTGGGCGGTATTGCGTTAGCAGGGGCGGAAGGAGGCAAAGGAAGTAAGATTGAGTGCATTTACCCGTCAGTAGTGAGGATAATGTGGAAGGGAAAAGCAGGTCTTGGGACCTTGATCAATCCTCAAAGCTGTAGTGGATGTTCACTTTCCTGAATTCCACCTCCTAAGGGGCACAAATGAGGGGCCATCACGAAGGTCATCTCCCTTCAATATTTCGCCTTTTTCTACCTTTCTCCCCACGATTTACATTACACCTGCCGACAGCATTAATATTAATGCTGCTACAAAATACTTGCTTGCATAAGCAGGTGTGACATTTGCATGACATGACCTGTCCTCTAATCCACAAACACACACGCATTATTATTTCACATCATGCATATTTTGAAATACTGCTAATAGCGCTTGGCTTTGAAAATTTGAGAGTTAAATTTAGTTTTTGTGCTTGGAATTGGGCTTGATCACAAGAAGGCATAACCTCGCCCAATGCTTTAAAAGATTCGCCGAAGCACTTTAACTGGTTATGGATTAACGTGGTACACAGTCCCTCCTCCAAGCCCCTTTTTTGGGCATCATCCCTGCCTGTCACAGCAAATGACGGTCTCCATAATGCCATCACTACCCGTTATTTTCAATTATATAATACCTGAATCGTTTAAGAAGTTGTAGGGTATAACTACTTGCAATTAGGCTCATTACAAACGTGCGGAAGGACTTTGACAATGGTAGCTGAGCTTTCTGCTACTAGGGTCGAGACCGAGTCTCGGATCGCTGCCCTTACCCCTCGCCTTGATTATGCCGCGAAATGATGTACCCAAGTTTTGTCACGTGTAGTATTGCAACGTTGAAAATCTTGACATGCATCAACTCCATTCAACATTCAACTCTTTTCTTCAAAGCAAAAGTGTAAAATTGCCTTGGTGTGCTTTCGCTGCAGGCTTTGCTTCTGTTGAACACTCAGTGCAGTCATTTTTCACAGAAAAAAAGTAGGAATGGCTGCTCTGCACAGAGGACCGCGATGGTTGGAATCGACCATCGTTGGGATGTGTACACTATTCAAATATCTTACCGCGGCTGAGCGTATTACCACCGAACTGGGTTTGGGGTCTTCAGTAGATGCTATTTAGACATTCAGACGTTCACGAAGAACTTCATCACCTCACTTTGTTGCATGCACGCGCTAGTACTGTCGCCTGCCATTTTGAAATTGTCTGGACCGGACTGGCCCAGAACATGTGCACCGACTAGTGAGAGTACTAGCAGAGCACACTTGACTCCTGCTGTCCATTACTATTAAGGCGAATATAAATCCGGGAGGATTCATTTCATTCCGGCCAAAGGCTACTTCTTCAATGCTTGTATACCTCCTCTTTTGCTTTCGCCAGCGATCTACAACTATGTACAGCGACCCTTCTTGCGCATGTCGTGGGAACAGGAGGAGAATAAGTCTCGTCACGTGGATTTCCAGTGTGTGAAGAGCAAGTCAGTGAGCGATCTCACCACCCTGGATCAGGCCATTATCGATCGGCCACTTTTGTCCTCCGTTGCTGCTGCCGCTGCCACTGGTGCCACCAATGCACCTTCTCCCTCACAGACTACCGATGGAGGTGGTGGGGAGGGAGGTGAAGGGGTGTTGGTTGATCCTATACCCCCCCGCTACTCACCCTCCCTGCCTCACCATCATCACCAACACCATGCGCCACCATGAATCAGGAGCCAACGGGCGTGACTTCTATGTTTCAAAACCCACCTCCTACGCTCTGTTCTGCTTAGTACGATACTCGTTACGCACGTACGCGTGCTTGTATGACATCTATCCGACTCATTATTGTGTCCTGTTTGAAAGGTGTTGTACGCTTTTAGTGCGTTCTATACTTTCCTCCTGCTCCGCCTCTTTTTCCTCTGCGCAGGATTTCTTGAGATTGATCAGGTGATGAGGCAGTTTCATCAGGATCAAACTTGGAGGCTGTCATTATACGTCTTGGCGAAGATTGCTATTTCATCAAATTCGGGAACTTTGTTAGTGCTGAGATGGATGTCTTTCCCGTCCCGTGATTCTCTACCACCTCGGGCCTACCTCGTACCTTACACGTGTTACCTGACTCACCTATAAAGGCCTACTAGACTACAGCTGAAGCATCCCACTTCATTGGTGTTGCGAGGTGTTCACGTCACTGCTGGCGGATGTTTTGCAACGAGGCTATCCTGTGTAGTAATCACTTTTCGGAGTAACTTTCATCTAACTTTCCGTTCATCTAAACTTGATCGTACCCCGTAAGTGGCCATTCTTAGGGCCTCGAAATCGGGACTTAACACAATTTGACGCTGTTTCAGTTCCTTGTGGTGGCTTTACCCACACCCAATCCTCCACCGCAAGTGGGTCTTTCAACGTTTGGATTTGATAACAATGTGGCTTCTTGGACTATTCCTGAAGACAATTAGGTAATGTTGGTATGGCAAGGGGTTTGTTATTGACGCACATAAGGGCTTGAAGGCCTTGGTATGTCATGGAGCCATGATGATGATGGCTAGACGGCTATTCTTTTGCCACAGTTACAATGAAATCTGAGGTAGTTCTTTTTTTTTTTTCTGAGTGACTGCGGCGCACATTTGTGGAACATCAATGAACAATTTCAGCTGAAAGTTGGATCAGTCTTGAGGTGCACTCCGATCGTCCACTTTATGATGTTGCCTAATAATCACTGACGATAGCATCGGGGGAGACTCGAACACCACGATACACATTTGCTACCTCTCAAATGTGACACTCCTGACAAAATGTCACACGATATAGCTATTCCCAAACTCACACCAAGAATCTGCTATGACTGCTTTATTGTTTTGAACGCAACCAATCGTGCGAAACGATTTTTTGCAAATTTCACCGGAGTCACATGCATGTGTATGTGTGTGATAAAGGTGGAGACTACGCTAGAGCAGCGAATTTCGATGCATTTGCCCCACCACATCCTTTATTGTCTTGACACCAACAGATAAGCCCTATCATGTGAGCAGAGCCAACTTCACTTGTATACTCGTCTCAGGCTCGATTGGGAGTGCCATCCTCGTCTTTGTTTCATCTTTCCACATTGGAAGCTTTAGTGACTAATCAGTCATTGCTTAAGATGTAGCCATGACGTTATGAAAATGTCTAAGTAACATTTGCTTTGTAGAAGGAGGGGACGGAGAGTGCTGCCTCCTTCCATGTCCTTACCGGTTGAGGCAGCGGCAGCTGGAACATGTGGGATTCATTCTAGGCCTGCATGTGACACTTTGCGTACTTAATTGAAATTCCAAGGGTGGTTTCACGTAACAACGACTACACTCCTGCTTTATTGAAGTGAGGTGTTTTTTTTGTCTTACGACAGCTGGTTGAGAAGCAGTAGTATTACGGTCCACCAATCCTTTGACATATGATGGAGAGCCATCGAGACCGTAGGTCGCACACCTATTGTTGTTTATCTCAATGCTCATTGAATGGCAGTGTGAAGAGGAAAAAAAATGATAAATTTTTTCCTTTTTATTACCGTTATTTAATTCACGTGTGTGTGAAACCCATCTCGTTTGATCATCCTGTTCCTTTGATTCGAGTTGTCCGATGGAATAATTTTGATTACAAGTGGGACTTTCTAGGCATCGGTCGTCTGCCGAATCAACGTGAACTAGCTACATTCTCACGGCCCGAACCCTTCCCTAATGTCGGAATGGGAGAACCAGGAGTTGAGCTTGAGGCAAACATGAATGCTGATAAATTTGAGTTGGTAGCTTTGTCAAAAGATCTCTGGTTACCGTCGAGTCTCGATTAATCCTGGCGCCATTAGAGGATGCTCAAGCCTGTTATAAGCACCCAGAGGGCTTGAGGGACGAGCGGTAGCGCAGAGGACTGTTAAACATGCAGATACGACTAGAAAATCATTTGTTTAGGTTCAGGTTAAAATTGTCAGCTCCAAAAGTAATTTTACAGTTGCCTCGGTAAGTGCACTTGCCTTGAATTTAGGCACTATTTCCACTTTTAAATGTTCTAATGCCTATGGCGTCAGAGCGAGAGAGAGAGAGTAAGGGAGAGTAAGATTTATGTCCTTGCAAGGGAGGGACTAGCTGAGAGCCAACAATTACTAATGCCCCTTCTCCATTCGTTGCCTGCCTGCCTTCCTGTCGACAAACAGAAAAGATCGCTGAGTTGGGGAAATCACCTCGTCTTTTTCCACGCGATCTCATTCCATTAATTCAAGCCTCTGAGGGTTTCACTGACTGTCGTATTTAATTCGAACAAACAAGCCAAGGGAGTAGGCTAGCCTTTGACCTGGGGAAAGGGTAGGAAACCCGCAGCAGAGGCAGTATAAATGGGTGCTCCACAATGAAGGAAAAGGTGAGCGGAAGGAACGGAGGGAGGGTTCAAGTTACCGCCCGAAATGGTACAGGTATGCCGTGTTCATGCGTATTCAATTCTTTCCTGATTGACAAAGGTGACAACATTTGTCCATGTAAACTTTACTTTAGGTAATAAACACACATTGTGCATGTATTCCATCTCTTAGTTGTAAAAATAGAGAATGATCAAGGGAGTTTCTGATTTTTAATCCAAGGAATTTAAATAACTGAAAAAAAACGCTTCAAAATATGCATCATTTGTTTCCCATCATTGTTGCATCCTGCTATTTTCTCCCAAGGAGACAGGTTTCGTGCGAATTCCACTTTTATGAAACTTCCCGTTTGCAGAGGTAAAAATCTGGCTCAATTCACTGCGCTTTCAAAACCATTTTGATTTCCTACTACCCTTTATTCCTCTTTTCTGCGATTGTCCGATGCCAAGACGAGGAGACCAACTACGGGCCGATGTGACGTGAAGCCTTCATATGGGTAAATTTGGCAGTTTGAGGCCTGGCAAAAGCAATAATGAGACTTCATTTCGGCTGCTTCGCTTATTCTGACGGTTTATCACGAAGAAGGAGGAGAAGCATTTCCACCACTTCCTCAAATTCTGCCTTATCGTACAGAGTT